TTAGATGAAGAGGGAAGCCAAAAACATTGAGATGGACATTGCGGCCAAGGCCAAGTCAAACCAAAATTTCTTTATTCTCACAAAGAACAATTACAATCCAATGATAAGCTTTAACATGCAAATAAGAGAATGTGTGCAAAAAAAAAAAAAAAAAAACTATTCTCTTCTATAGTCTGGAGAGAGAGAAAGAAGGGAAAATAATAAACGAGTTTTCTGTTCGGACAAAGAAATTAATGACATGTGATGAGGCATCCTAACTTAATTTTACAATCAAGTCAGGACACTCATTAAAAGAAAATGTTTATATTCACAGCAAAAACTCTTCACTCTTGTAAACTACATAAAATTCCTCAAGAGTTGCCCATTTTTACTGTGGAAGTATGTTTAATGCAAGATTAAATATCCATGCACCTATTTGTTGTTGTTCTAATTCATAGCAGCTTGCAGCTAATCTTTTGATCTCTACAATATTTATTTAATCATACATAGAATATTTAGCTTTTGAAAATTCAATTCTAATCACAAAATCTGAAAATAAAAGTTTGAAGAGAACAAAAATATGTAAATTAAAATGGGTAAAAGTACTGTAGACAGATACATTTGGTAACTAATTACAGTACTACAAAAAGTATAATAAAGGCAACATACACTACCAGAAAATACTTTTGGAGCTACATAATAGAAATATAATTATGAGTGAGTGAACAAATGAGCAATCTCATGTTACACTACTCCTCCAGCGGTGATGGAGAGGCTGATGATGGGGAGTGTGTGGGGGTGTAGAAGCAGAGGAAAAGAGACAGTAACTGAGCACAAGAGGTGTTGCAGGATGAGGAAGGTGGGGGGGGGGGAGGCAACTACAAGAGAAGCAATCCTTACAAATGTCAGCTGAAAGGTGGGAGGGAGGGGGGGACAAGCAAGGGTGGAGTGAAACATCGAAATAAACCAGTTTAAAATGTTATTACAGGGAACAAGTTATATACCAAAGTAAAATGCAATTTCCACTTCTGCCATAGCACCAAGTGTTAGCCACTTAAAAGGACTAGAGGAACATTTACAGCAGACCCTTATATTACAGATTTATTTGGCAAGTATTGGTTATTACGCTATTGAAAAATTGTGGCATAATTTTATACAACACTTTGTAAAATTAACTTAACACTGTTCAGTTTGAGGGAGGGGAAAAATCTGGAGCATTGCCTGCGGGATATTTCCCTATCTCAGACCGCAGCCTGGCTGTTAATGAGACCACTATCTCCGCAGGGCTGCACCAGGTTTCAAGGTAGTAAAGGATCACTTCACCTTACTCCTTTGCAGTAATGAGTCAGGTGATTTAAAGTGTAAGCCCATGCTTATTTACTGCTCAAAAGAATCCTCATGCTTTGAAAGGTGTAGATAAAAACACCTTATCAGTAATTTGGAGGTCAAACCAGTCAGCATGAATGACAGAGAAAATATTTATTGACTGGTTTAAGTAACATCACTTTATTCCTGAAGTCAAGTTTTACCTGCACAGCAAGAACCTTGCATTCAAGGCTCTCTTCATTCTTAATAATTCCCATACTCATCCAGAAGCTCTGTTGGATGTGACCCCACATGTAAAAGTTGTATTTTTACCTCAAAATACATCTAACACAACCACTTGATCGGGGAGTTAAGTCATTCAAGTGTAACTACACAAGAAAAGTGATGAAGAAACTAGTTGCATCAATGGACTGACTTCAACCTGGCAGTACCAAGCTTCTGGAATAATGTACTGTATAATGTACTGCAGGATAAATGAAGCCAAAGATTCATTACAGAATTTATGCACACTCCAATACAGCCATCGACTTTAGTACCAGAACCTCAACCATCCACTTCTGTTGACAACCGACAACCATCCACCTCAGCCCAGTAGGGCTACACCATGCATCTCCACTCCCTTCACAATCATTGACATACACCAACAACCACAATTTAAGGTAAATATTATTTCTGTTGCATTTGTCATCTTAAGCAACAAAAACATTATCATTTTTAATTGTGTAAGATCTGGATGTCTAAAAAAAAAAAAGTTATCTGGCTTATGGAGAGGGGGGGAACAGGTACCAGGAATGTAATCCTATTTTTCCCACAAGTTCTTCAGCTTATATAACATTGATTTATCTAACATGGCATTTTCAGGAACGTAACTACCGTGTAATATGAGGGTCTACTGTATAAAAAAAGGTGAATATTGAGTTTTTGCTTGCAATTAAAATATCAAGTACAGAGAGATAACACTAGGGGGGAGCAGGAGGTATATCATATGATACATAAACTTCAATACAAGCAACATTTACCTAATGTACATTTGCTTTAATAATTACCAGGACACTAGACGGCTTCTATACCTAATCACGATAAATTTCCGTGTGTACACACTTTATAAATACTCTTGTGCCTTTATTTTATTGACTGGAAATTGTAAACGAATATTTGTACAGTGGTATATTATACAACACTTAAATTTGAAGAAATTAAGCATGAGTACCATTGACAATTAAAAAAAATATTTTTAAATCTGCCATAAAGAAACTATAAAGATAAAACAAGTTCCCAAGAAATACATATATAAATACATATCAAAGCTTATTGAAATGGGTTATTCACTATTACATTACAGAGAAAGACGGGAGAGTGGAGAAACAAGTAGAGGAGGATGCAGGGTTGACTTTTTTTTTTTTTTTTTTTTTTTTTTTTTTTACAGTATTTTAAAGCACTTTACTTGTTCACATACCACCCACACTCTGAGTTTCCTCCTAAGTTTACAGATTATTTTTAAATGTTCCAATCATGGTATTGTAACAGTCTGTACTAAAACAAGTCATTCAATGTAAAAAAAAAAAAAAAAAAAAAAAAAAAAAAAAAAAAAAAAAAAAAAAAAAAAAAAAAAAAAAAAAAGTTGTGTCACCAATTCACCGCTATTATAACCTATTCGTTTTCATAATACTTAACTATTACAATGCAATCAATCAGGAGTTACATCCCACAAACTATGCCTATAATTTGTTCAAAGTTGTATGAAATGAGTCGCATTACAGAAATCACAACTATAATATAAAATCTCCATGAGGTATTTAAGCTTGATCCAAGGAAAGGGATGGGATTAAGTACCAGCTGTTTAGAACAATAGTCCTTCACAACAGAGACCCACTTCCCTTGAAGTTGAGAATAGATGGAGAGACGTGAGTAAAGGGATGGACAGAATAGAACCAAAGCTGCTGCAAACTTTTAAATGTGTTTCACAATCATTGGTATGTCAAGTGACAGAGGGGCAAAAATCACCTCCAAGTAGGTGACCATGGGTGAGGTGTGCACACACCCTTCTCACCCCCAATCTACAGACAATAAGAGATTGTTCGCATGAAATTAGAAGGGTCAAACATGCACATATTGCCAAGCCCAATACAGTTGGTTATTTATCTGTAGGGTTTACAGTGCCTATCCATTCACAAGGACAATCTGACAAAATGCAGAGAAAATGACAGAAGACGACTACTAGAGCATATTCAATATATCAACCTCTAGGTTGCTCGTTTATTAAACCCAATATGCTGTAGATTGAGTACTGAGCTGCATATCTTTATATCAGACAAAGTGAAGTCCTCTTGAATCTTTTTTGGAACAGGGGTTGGAGGTAATGGATCAAAGGAGGAAAGATGGATGGATGTATAGGAAACAGAGGGAAGACATGCATTATGACAGGAAATAAGAGAGGTGACTATTTCAGTAACCTATTTTATCTCCAAATACCTGGCTACACAATGACTGCTTTAACATTACAAAAGATGTGTAGTGCCCACTTTCAAAGCAATCACTAACTTGGTGTTCCATCTGTCTGGGAGCAAGAGTTGGTAGATTACATTACCTTCTGAGAACAAGATGTATCAAGACAACTAAATTCTACTTCTGGAACTGATTTAAGAATGGTGGAGATTTACACCAAGGGATGAAACATATCTTTGGGTGGAATTTAACTCTGCAATGACTAAAGAATCATGAGGCAATTCTTGCAAGATTAGCAGACAAACTGTCAGGGCACACTGTACTGTATACTCGTTTGACAGCAGAGGCTGCAAACCTCTATACAGGTTACTAAATATATGACTGACAAGGCTAATAATGTTTGCTCAACATGTGTTCTGCTTAAATTAGGGTACTTAATTTATATCATGCCCAGTTCCCCCACATAGCTGTAGATGTGCATGATTGTAAGAAAAGTACAGTACCTGCACTATATATGTCAGAAGTAAATTAATGAATGCACTCTGCAATCAGAAATGCAGTACACTGCTCACACTTGGTAAGCAGGTAGTACAGTCCTTTCATTTTGAAGGATATCAAGTCAACAGATGCAACCCCCCCCCCACTTCCTCTCCCAGTCAAGATTAACACATGCTTTGTATGTAATAAAACAAAAAATCCAGCTGAAGTACATATATTTACTCAAACTAATGTGCCCAAACAAGCACTGGTAACCAATCTAGGGACTAGCCTCAACCCAACACTTACACTAATAACACTTTTTTCACAGGTTATTTATTATAAAACTTTTTAAACTTGTTTTTCCTTGCAATGTTTTCCTGTCCCTACTGGGAAAGTGCCACTCACCCTCCCCACCCAGAAAGTGGGAAGCAGAATGTTTAAGAGTGAAAAAAATAAGATTTTTACGATTTCATCTTTTACACTATCAGGCGAGAAACTAAAGTACGTATAAGAACACACATGGTGATAATGGAAAATGAAGGAAACAAAAACTGGAATGTCTAGCGATGAAGCCATTAATATTGGTCGAGTAAAGCAGAGAAAGAATGCCTACAAATTCCTTGCAAATACCTTCTCAGGAAACTAGGAGATAGGCAGAGATTAAGTTTAGTATAGTTGGCTGGGATACTATGACAGTGATAGAAGGGTGGGGGAAGGGGATAAACTACAAGGAAATGAGCAAAGCTGTGGTTATGGGGAGTGCGGGTCACCTCTGGAGTATGGTGGTGGTGGTGGTGTGGGTGCGTGGGGTGACAGTATGGTACCTGAGCACCCCGCGTTGACGACTGGGCCTGCTGTTGAGGCGGGCGCTGGCTGAAGTGGGAACCTCTCGTGGGTTCTGGAATAATGGGTGAGTGGGAATGGCATTGCTCCCACCTGCAATAAAACAATCAAGTTAAAAGCTTAAAATGATACGAATCTATAATGAGGCACACACAAAAACATTTACCATAAAGGTTAAGTATTTCTGATATTACCGTAAGATTAAATTCTGCATGTAAGCTAATGCTAACACTAGATAATGACTGGTCCCATTATGATGATAAAAGGGTAAGTTTGATATATTCTACCATAACCTCTTCTAAATCAGGATATTTTTTTCTTTCTGTGGGCTTATTTATAGTGCAGATCTCTGCAGTACAGGTGTAACTATTATACACACCTTCTGATACTTGCTCATTCAAAAATCTCCTGCTCCCATTTATTCTTTCACCTGTCCACAGCTTGCACCATCTCAATCCTCTCCAAACTTTCTAAGTATTGTCATTTTTTCCACACAAGCTAAAAGTGACAGTACAGCAATCCTACGTGCAGTTTATTATAACTATTACTACTCCACCTCCAATTACTAAATTACTCTACATAAATACAGCAAATCTGATAGTTGATGTAGTCGACAGTTTTGCAAGCAATTGCGTACACTTAATCGTAAGAATGCATCATCAAAATTATCTTGCCGTCGCCTCCTCCTTCCAATCCATAGTGAATTTACTCTACATCAGTAGAGTCTGTGTGTCTCACAATTAGTGAATTGTGGATCAAGCTTTCATAACTCCTTGTGCTGAATGAGCCTCATGGGTTTAACCCTTTATATATAATACATAATATACAGTAGTTCAACAAAAATACAAAACATCAAGACGTACTTGGATTAGCATTTGGTGTCGAGGCCATGAAAGATGGATCCTCATGGGAGTTACTATGGTGATGCAGGGATACTCTATCAACTCTATCCCCAAATATGATGGTATCTATTGTATCAATGTACTGTTGATATGAGGGTAGCAGAAGAATATCATCGGAATCCCGGTCTCCTGGAAGACGAATGAAGGCTTCCTCAAGGTCTTCATAACCCTCATCAAACACAGAACCTTCCTCCTCCTCTTCCTCCTCATCGTCGTCATCATCAGCTGTTTCAAGTAACATTCAAACTAAGTCCTTTTATGTGGAACTTAAATTTCATCTAGTAATAGTGGGTAAAGCATAACTGCTCTAACACTAACCTTACCAGAAGTGAATGTGTTGAGGATGAGGTAGTAGGCAGGATGACAGCTGGTAAAACAATTGGGGGGAGAGGGGATTAAGATAGATACAGAAAGGTGGGGACAGATTTGTAATAGTGTAATAATTTCATGTGTAAAAGGAGAGAAGATTACTGTGGACCTGCATAGTTCCTTTGTGTATGGGGGGGAGGGGGATAGAGACAAAAGTTAAAAGTAAAGGGGTAGTGCCAGCAAGGTGTATAGCAGAACTGTTATTGTTGAAAGAATAGGGAGGGGGGGGGGGGGAAGGAGAGCAGAATTACCAAGATGTATTTAGGAAGGAAATGCAATGGGCTGGTCAGGAGTTTAAATACTACATAAGCAACTAATAAGATATACATTAGAAAACAGTTGCTTTATGAACTTGGAAAAGGAATGGTGCTTTTGGGAGAATTGGAATGTCTGAGGTGTGTAAAAATATTAAGCTGAAAGAAAATGCATAAAAAGCAAGTGATGGTAAAAAGAATGAAAACTACTAGGCAATGAAAGACTGAACATCAGATTGGAGGAAAATTACAAAACAAACTGTGTTTAAATACAATGTTTGGTGGAAGATGTACAGGCAGAGCCAAATATTACATGATCCACCTTAGCTGAAGGAAAGGTGGCTGAGGTATTGGCATTGGCAATACAAATGTCGGTGGATGCATTTAAGGGAAAGTGATAGAATGCAGTTGTGCAGAAAAGAGGCTTAACTTTCAAAATGCAGCAAAGAAGTGGTTAACTGGAGTAGAGAGTGCATTCAAGATTCAATTTGTGTGAATATTATGCAGAGAATAATGAGTAAAGAAATTAAAAGATGGTGTGGTGGTAGGAAAGGTATAACTGGGGAAGTGAAAATAAGGTTGTGGAGATGGTTTGGTCATTCAGGAAGGATAGCAAGTGAAGCTGCATAAATCAGGGTGTATGGAGAAATGTGTAGGGGACATCCCAAGAAGGGTTTGGCAGAATGTAGTTAGTTCTGATTGATAGGGGCTTGAGCATCCAAAAGCCATGTGTGAGCATGTTGTATCAGGGTGGAGATAAATAGGTTTTAGGGACCTAAACATGTTAGAGTAAATTATATGAAAGGCTTCAAGAAAACTGGTTAGTCAGAGTTGAGCTCTGGAGGTGGTGGTACAGTGCTTGCACTCTGAAGGATGGCTGGGGAAGAGGGATGGTTTGCTGGGTCATTTGAATTGCAATGTTTGTACACATCTGAAAAGATAGCCAAAGAATGAGTGATAGTGAATGCTTTCCTTTTGGTCACCCTACCTTGGTGGGGAAACAGCAGACATGTTCAAAATATATGTAGTTATCTTCTCTTTCCTGCTAATCTCCAAACATTTTTCAACGTCAATGTTTTCAACATTTCTTCGTATTTCATAACTCTGGTGTCATTTTTAGTCTTTTTGTGAAGACACCAATTACAGCTGCATTTTCCAATTTTGGTCAATCACATTTGTCAATGATTAAAGTTTTGACCTTTCACCATCCCTATATCAGAAGGTTATTTTGAGGCTTCCTGGGAAGAGCAAGTCTACTACATTTGATAATTTTCAGTGACATCTATATTTAAAGCCCTTGTATATCAGACATTAAATTTCAATGCAAAATTATTTCTTGCTTTTTCCATTTCAACTATGTAATATAACATACCTGTTAAATTTTTTCACTAATCTGAGTCATCGTTTGTTAAAGTAATCCAAGATTTTCTTTCATTATGAAGACATTTAGATTTCCTATCCTGCACAAGACTATCTTCGAAGCACTATTTTTTTTTTTCTGGCAAAAAAGTACAGTACAGACCCTTGCAAGACCCCAGTGCTGAGGCTTCCCAAATGTATATTTTTTTTTTTTATTATTACAGTCCTTCAAATTTATGGCCAGACAAAATTTCTCGCCTATTGTTATAGTTTGCCTTTTTGTTTCATGTAGTCTTGAGAGCCAGATAAATGCCATTTGCCCACCAGATTCTTTCCAGTAATATTCTTGACTATCACAGTAGCCAAATAAATTTTACATCCAGTCATCATTTGATGTACAGTAACCTCTTCCTCTTAAACAATCCTCTAAAAGACTTAACCATCTAGAAAGAGACACCAACACTGCCATGTTCATTTGGTTACCCAGAAATAATACTTCCCTAACATTAAAAATGCTCTATTCACCTCAATAAATAATACTGCAAGTAAACATTGTGTTTTTTGATCCATTTAAAATGTAGTAGTTCAGTATGGCATTTTTTGAGGGGGAAAGGGAATCTGAAATAATTTCCTCAAAAAATATACTGGGAATCAAAATTTACAATTGGACAGGGAATTTTTTTTTACAAAAACTGAAAAGTGTGATGTTACGTTCATCATGAGCATGGCTATGAGATGATGACAATGAGTATGTAATGGAAGGAGCAATATGTCAGATATACAGAGCCCCTACCTCTTCGAAGTACCCACTTACTCTCTTAGTATTAGGGCTGTTGTGACCCAGCTAAACTCACAGGCCCTGATCGATTGGGCTAAAACCAACTATCAGTTAACTTTGGAGCCAACAACAGAGCAGCTAGTGATTGTCAAGGAAGTGGTAAACTAGACATAGCTGCAATTGATATAACATATTGCTGCATCTTACACTGCCTTCCATATCTGTAAAATGGGGATTCCTATGGAAGTTTCTCATGAGATGGCCCTGTATTTTGGATTGTGTGGCATAGTTGCTGTCTCTGGTCGGCCTAGTGCCCATTAAGAACAAGAGACAGAAGACTTCTACTTGTTGGCAGACATTGTACTGCTGGCAATAATGTACAAGCTGGCAATTCTTTTTGATATCATGCACCATTACTCCTGTCAGTCTTGACCACCCATATCTAACCAACTGTAATTACCTATTTGTAGCTACAGAAGCAGATGTCTTCAATACTCTGTTCATCATGATTTTTTAAATTTCCAATGGTTACAGCAATTATTATTTCCTCTTGTGTATTTCACTGGTCAATCACTATTTGAGAAGAAAAATTTTCCATCCTTTCCACTAAACTTGTTCCTCAATTTATATCCTGTGTGTATGGCATGACACGTGGCATGATACAGCACGTGGTGCGGCATCATATAGCGTGTGGTGTGGCACAGCACTGGCACGATATAGCGTGTGGTGTGGCATGGCATCTAGCACGATATAGTGTGTGGTGTGGCACAGCATCTGGTATGATATAGAGTGTGGTGTGGCATGGCATGGTGTAGGGTGTATACTTGCCTATTTGTGGAAGCAGTGGATGATTTTAAGTTCCTGGCCCCACCTCTTTACCTGCCACTCTTGATTCACTCAGCCTTATGGGCCATTTCATACCTGCTCTTTAATTAAAAAACTATGATGGAGCCTGACTCCACTACCTCACCATGATGAATCCACCACTTGACCACTGATACTAAAGAAATATTTCCTAACATTCCTGTGGTTCATCTGTAAATGACTCCAATGGTGTCCCAGAGTTGCTGTTTCTTGCTCTCAAATAGCCTATCCCTGTCTACCTTACCAATTCCCCTGAGTATTTTGTATGTTAATTTTCCCCTGGTTCTTGTGTCTAATGTCATTAGGTCCAGTTCTGTTAGCCTCTCCTCAAAGCTTATGCCTTACCTCAGAAAAAAGATTTGTTACATACTTCTGAATTTTCTCCACTTCAGAATGCTCTTTCAGGTGTATACTCCAAGATGGGCCTAAAGAATGTTGTATAAAGGGTCTGGAAGGACTTGAAATTCCTGAAGCTTACTCAGGTTTGCTGGAGGAGAATTAGCTGTAGAGGATATTCATCTGTTGTGAGCCTCTGGCATTATACTAGGAACTATGCTTACCCTTAGATCTTTCTGAGTGAAGACTGCAGCCTGTCCCCTTAGCCTGAACCTTCTTGCTCCATCCCCAAGCTTCATCACCTTGCATTTACTGGAGTTGAATTACAGCAACCACACATCTGACCACTCTTGCAATTTGTCCAAAACCATTTGGAGCTTTTCCTTGTCCTTATCTGCTTTTATTCTCTCAAGTTTCACATCAGCAAATGGATACATTTGACAAACCAAGCACTGCAGTAGACCAACTGACCCATGCTATGCAGATACCACTCAAATCCAACATTTCTCACTCATATCTAACCTATACCTTAATCATTCCATCTGGAATGTCATTCACAAACCAGAAACAGCACTGGTCCTAATACCAATCCTTGCAAAACCCTGCTAGTTACTCTTCCCCATTCTGATGTCCCTCCTCACAGCCACTCTTTGCTTCCTTCCTCCAAGATACTCTGACCCTGTAAGTTTTTGGCCTTCTGTGGGGGTACCAAATGCCTTCATGCAGCCTAAAACAAAAATGCAGTCCACCCAACTCTAATGTCATACGTGCATGTGCGTGAGTTTGTGTACTTGCCAATACATGATTGCACTGGCCAAGTCCTAGCATTTAGCCTCGCTTCTCAAGGTGTATGTAGGGAAAAGGATGGGAGGGAGGGGATAGTACAAGTATTATTTTGCTCTTCACTGATGGGTGTCCCTGGCAGATGCTCTTGCTCTTCAATTTTTCTTTTATTAGAATATTCACTTAGGACCTAACCCCCTGTGCCTCTAACATGGAGACAGTATAACCATTCAACTATGGTGAATGTTATCCAGTCAGGTCCATACAGTCATCTCTTATTGGAGATCACAGGTTTGAACCTAAAGCATTACACATGATTTTTTTCTTTCTTGCTCTCCATCACTGGATTACATTCCTTCAGAAACTCCCTAGCACTCCAATGGGGAAAAAAATGTGGTGCATCCTTATCCTGAGGGTCCTGCACTTGTCGACAGGAATATAAAAGAATCATGTTTCATAAAAAGTAGTTTTGAAAATATGAA